TTCAGAACGTGCCATCTGCGAACATATCCCTTACAGTTCAATAAGAACCACTGGAGGTTGTGGAAAACTTTGCATACCTCGGTAGTTGTATTAGCTCTAACGGAAGTGTGTCTGATGAAGTCAGTGCAAGAATCTCAAAGGCTCGAATCACGTTTGCTAATTTGCGTCACTCGTCGCGTCATTGAGTCACTGAGTCTTAGGGATCGTGTGCACCAGGCTACAGTAAGGGCTGTTGTTGTATGGGTGCGAGACGTGGTCTCTGCGGGTAGATGAGAGGTTGTTCTCCGTGCCCCATTCAGGATGGCGCAAACCGCGTGGACAGCACATGACTTGGAAGAAAGGCGTCAAAGAGATGATGAAGAGTCTGGGTGTTGTTAGTGTTGTGCGACTTCCAGGATGGGGTCCCCGTGACCCCTTCTGTGCTTGGCTGGAGACGTTGCAAGAAATGGCGGCTAATCGATGTCAGTGGCGTTCGTGTTACCAGTTTCTTTCCGGATTGTCTGATTGAGCGGTTGGAAGTATAGGCACCCCAGAATGCTTGACATAGGCCGGCACTGGGTCCCCTCCCTCACCCACTATTTTTATACTCTCTCCATTGCTTGCTTGCTCGACAAGGAATGCCCCGAAAGATCGTGACCATTATAGGTTCACTGTATTCCCGGACGTCCGGACGCGTGAGAGTAAACGGCGAGCTCTCCAAAAAGCTTCCGTACACAAATTGTTGTCCGTCAGGGATGCCCAGTCTCTCCATTCCTATTTAACTTCGTGGTTGATGAAGACATCAGTCGAACGCTGGAAGTTCTCCACACTCGTGTTCAAATAGCCTGTGAAGAAAACCTTGTAGATCTGGAATATGCAGACGACATCGTTCTCATCTTCGAAGAGGAGAAGGCGCCAGTGTTCTCGGGTGAACTGACCAAAATCATCCTGTCCTTTGGTATGCACTTCGCACCCACAAAGTGTAGGGTCATGCTCCTGGACATGCAGTCACTGAACACGCCACTTACAATCCAGGGGGAAGTTGTGGAGCGTTTTATGTACCTTGGAAGTTGTATTGTTTCCGACGGTAGTGTGACGGATTAGGTCAATGCACGAATTTGCAAGGCTCAGGTCACGTTTGCTAATTTGAGACACTCATGGCGTCAAAGTGATGTATCCCTGAATCTCAAGGGACGTGGTTATCAAGCTACAGTGCGGGCTGTTTTGTTGTATGGCTGTGAGACTTGGCCTGTTCGGGCAGCGGAACTGAGACGTCTTCAGGTATCCGACAACCGTTTTCCCAGAACTATAGCTCGTGTGTTGGTGTCGGCGTATCTGTAACGAGCCAGTCAGAAAGCGGGTAATCGTCTATTCGACGAGTACTTCCATTGAAGAATGTGTCCAGCATCAAAATCTGCGTTGGTTGGGACTGTGAGTGTCGCGCGGATATCCCCAGTATAGCTCAATGGGTAGCCGAGGTACACAAACCACATCACAGTAAGTTCATATTTGAACTGTTCCAAGATATGGCTGCTAACCGATGCCAGTAGTGAACTCGTTGTCAGTTTCTATCCAGATTGCCTGAATGAGTGTTTGGAGGTGGAGGCACCTTGGAATGATCGTAGTAAGCTGACACTAAGTCCTTTCCCTGTCTACGTTTATCCCTTTGTCCAAAATAAGATTATCAAATAGACCATGGTTGTACGGCGGCGAAGCATCGGTGTTGAACACTGATGCCATTCTGTCGATGATGATTATTATTTCTAATTCTCATGATTTTTCTGCAGCCGGTCGGTCCAAGAAACCGACACTTCGTAGCTTCCTCCTGTTCTGTAGCTTGCCACACTTGGATACTACCATCAACCCGAGGAATTTGTAGCAATTCCACGAAGGACAACGCGAAAGTAATACTTGCACGCTCTCCGCTGACCCATTAATCCTGTGAGCATAATAGGTTCGAGTACAGAGCCGTAAGAGACAATAGTTCCCGCAGCACTCCAAGTAGAGTGAAGGCCACTGACCTTCATCGGCAACCGAGTACTTGTGTAAAGTCAGTTACCCAACAAAGAAACTATGATCAATCTTCAATCGTCAGAGTTAGCCACCGAGAAGTTCACACTTAATAGGACTGGATACTGTATGAAGTAGGAAAAACAACAAAGGGGCGTTTGTCTTTACAACCCAAAGCATCTGATAATGCAAAGACAATTGTTCTTTTAGTTTAACGAGCTCACCCGAAATCATCATCCAGGGATTTGAAAAAGAACTTGAAATGTGGACGGTTCAGCGCGTTTTTGAAGTCACCGAGAGTTACCACATCTGGAGGAATACTAAGTTTCACAAGATATGGTGTTTCTTCTTCATCGATGTAATAAATAAACTTGGTTTCCTCGGCACAACCCACACTAGACATCATTCGCCAGACAAAGATCAGGAATCGATGCTCATTTTCACAAATGTGCCTTTAGTGATAGCGAACTAAAACAACGTGGCCTGGTGTATCTGATTGTGTGTATATTTGGGCCCATAAAGGTAGCTCTTATCTCGTGGCAATTTCTAGTCAGGTCACAGACAATAGGTGAATGAGCTTCCGCAGGCGCGGAGCGTTTGAAACTGAAGGGAGCCGCCCAGTTGTGGCGTTTTGTATCTTTATTTTGCTTCCAATAAAACACTACGTACTTCATCAAGTTTGTAACAACGCATCTCAACCACTAGACATTTTCTCGCAGGAGATGCCGGCTGCACAAACGCGTTACGGTACTTTTGGTCGTGAATTACTCGCAATTTACCATGCTAATCGCTATTTGATTTATCATTGGAACCGACAATAAGCCAATTACGTATGCCTTTAACGCCAAGCCTGATCGATATTCACCACGCGAGATACACCGTCCTGACTACATTTCACAGTCCCCTACCGACATTCGGTACACTCCATGTTCGGACAATGTCGTCGGAGACGCACTATCCCATCCTGACATCAACGCTCTTCAGCCTTCCACGCTGTTGGGCCTAGCCAAGCTGGTGAACCTTCGGCATTGAGGTCCTAATTTTTTGATCATTTTATCGTTCTCTTCATTTCAAGTCCCTTCAATTCCCTTACCCCTCCAATCTGGAACCATTTATTGTTATATGTTTACCGGATCAGCTCGCCCAATCGTCCCCGAAGCCTTCCGACGAGTTGTTTTCAACCACTTTCATGGACTGCCTCGCCCAGGAATCAGAGCAACAAGGAAGTTGATTACTGCATGCTTTGTATGTTCGTACATGAATAAGGATCTAACATCCTGGGCCAAACGGTGCATCGCCTGTCAACACAGTAAAGTAATTCGGCATACGAACTCACCTATCAGTTCATTTACAGTTCCTGATGCTCCATTCACACACGCCCATCTCAATATTGTTGGTCCACTTTCCCCATCAAGCGGTTCCAGTCATATACTTACTATGATTGATCGTTGTACCCGTCTGCCAGTAGCTGTACCCATTCCGGATACTTCAGTTGAAACGTCTGGCTTTTAATTTTTGCAGCACTGGGTGAGTAACTTTGGCATTCCTTCAACCGTTACTCCCGATCGCGTTTCACTTTTTCAGTGCACTCTCTTCCGTGAGTTTTCCACGCTATTCGGTTTCCATCACATTTTGACTACCGCGTATCACCCATGCTCCAGCGGTCTGGTTGAGCGCTTCCATCGCTACCTCAAAGCTGCATTGACTGCCCAAATAAACCCATCTTCACGGTCCTCCTGTTTACGCCTCATTTTGCTTGCTGTTCACTCCACTATTAAGGAGGATATTCACCGTTCTCCAGAGGAACTAGTATATGGTAAAACTTTACGTTTACCCGGTGAACTGGTTTCCCCTCCTGGCGCACAGCACGAATCACCTGTCACATTCGTCACCCGTCTGAAACAGCATGTGTCCGAACTTCGTGCGACACCGACCAGACGATCAACGCGAACAGAACACATCTCAACCGATCTCTCTTTTACACCATTTGTGTTTGTCGGACATGGCACAACGAGGAAACTTCTCCAACCTTGTTATGATGGCCACTTCAAGGTTATCGAAAGTCACTCCAAATACTTTGTCTTAGAGAGGCCTACATCAAGGCACCCACGACCATATCCAGCAATCCTGCTATCCCAACAACACCCGCACCTTCCAAGATATCCCTGCCGCCGACTTAACTGCTTCCACTAGTCGTTCCGGACGACGCGTCCGTTGCCCCCAGTACTAAGCTGATTACGAAACTTGGAGTGAGCAACTTTTTGATTCGTTGCTTTATTTATTCGAGCGTTGTCCCCTTTCGAGGTCAACGCTCTAGTGGGGGTAGTGAGGCGTTTTGTACCTTTATTCCGTCTCCAATATACCACCACGTATTTCGTCAATTCCACAATCGTTTTTTGTTTGAAAACGAAAAACTATAAAAACGCGCACTTGTACAATTAACGGAATACAAGCATGGTTACGTGCTTCGACTCTCTTCTGATTTTGCTCGCGCTTGCAGCGGTCATTCGAGAGTCTCATGTGCTAACTCTGGTATCAAAACATTTCAGACCATCTTCGGAATATATTATATGTGGGAACTGTACAGAAGTAGACCCCTGGACCACCATATTGGATTACTGTTTATTCGCCGACCTGGGCCAACGACGAACTATTTTAAAGAGAACAGTTGTTAGTGAGTCTGTTCCATCTGACCTCTTTATTATTGTATTCCCAACGTAGCATTACCATTTTCATTTGTTCGCCACACACTCCTGGTAAACTAACTTATTGGGTAGCCAGACCACTACACAGTATTCATATTTGGCTTAGTGGGTTGTCCTACAGATTCTTCCTCGTGATTGATTCGTGTAATTGGGTGAATCCTCAAGGTCATCAATAAAGCCAAATCAAAAAAGGAGCGTTTGACTGTAATCGCAACTTGAGTAAAACGTGAAGCCCTCAAATTGGGTGAAACTGGCGGGAAGTTCTGCAGGTTATCTACTGTGTGGAAATTGCTAGTGCTTATATTTTACTCGTGATCACAAAATATGGCATTGCTTTACCATTGCGACCAAATTTGCCATTGTATCCCCCGGTCAATCTGACGGAAGACGAGTCGTGTGTTTCCGGACCTCATTAATAACCGCTCTCCGTAATCACTGCAAGCAAGCAAGCACTTTATTCTGGAAGTTCGTACCAGATATCATGAAAATGGGACCACAGATGAAGACGACACAGACTCCCCAGTCTAGTTTTCTGACGCAAAGCTTAAAACCAACACGGAAGTATCAAAGCCATCGATGTCCCTACTACCACAAGTAGGAAATAAACATTATCATTATTGCGTGGAACCAACAATGATCATAGCGGACAGCTGAATGAACTAAGCTGACTCGCAGAACTAACACGTGCTCATCCATCTTGAAAGCGGAAAATCAATGGTCCAAATTGGAAGAGAAAAATTGAACTTTATTGGGCGTTTTGATTACTACATAGGTTCCGGCAGGAAGCACACGAACATCTTGCTGCTTATTGCTAATCGAGGTATTGACGTACAAAAATAGGAGGAAAATATGAGATAATTTGTAGGAATGAGTTAACATGTCTTTGCGGGTCGTTTGGCAGGCGTATCCGCAAAGTTTCTGGACGTGTTGGAGGCTAGGCAGCCTGCAGATCGGTACTTAACGTAGGCAAAGTTCACTACCGTTGGCTGATTCATAGGAAGGCCAGTGACCTGCTCCTGAAGCAGAGTGTACCGCAAGAGCAATGAATACTATTCACCGATTTTCGCTTTCTAAAGAGATGTCAGCCTCGACCATTAAGCACACAAAAATCGATCAGCATCGCCAGCACCCAACCCAAAGTTCTGGAATGCGCAATTTAACGTGTATTAGCATTTGTACGTCTAACGTTTAGCATCATGTGCTTGTTCACTGTGGTCTAGCGTACACGCCTTTTTTTGCACTAGCGAGTGCACTATGATTGCACGGAATGAAAATGAACAAGCGAAAAATGCGTGTCTCGAATTCCAAGGCGCGGTTGAGTAGGTCGACCAAATGTCTCTCTTTCCTAATCTGGACCTCTGTGAATTCTCCGGTAGCGCTTTGCGATTAGACTGAGCTGAATTTGGAGGCACTGGGACCTCATGAGATTAAGTAGGCGAAGGGGAAGTTGACGCTTAACAGCAGCAATGTCCCTCAGTGTTTGCTCTAGGACTTACGACCTCTCTCCGTGCATGAGCTCGATTCGCGAAATTCCCATATTACGGGCAGTGCTAGTTAATATCAATGGGTGACCGATGACGTATGCTTCTCTTTTCGTAACGTCGAAATCCACGCACATTGGCGCACGTTTTAGTGCATAAAAAGTTTTGGTTGGTAGTTAAAAGCATACTGGACGACTCGTCATTGGTGGTTTTTTATCTGAGTGTCAGCGAGCCACCGCTGCACAAAGAGCAAGAAAAGTAATGCCTGTGCTGCTAGGGACAGCCAAAACTGACTCACCAAAGTGCTCTTCCCGCTTTCGACGAGTCACGGTGCATTGAATCCTGGGGACCTCATTCGAAGAAATAATTGCAATTACTCAAGGGAGCACCACTTAGGGCAGCGCGATGAATGCTTGTTATGTAAGGGTCCCTTATAATGCAAGAGAATCTTTCGGCTGTAGCACTTTTTTGTTATCTCGTTGCCATGCCACCCAAAGCAAGCACGGGGGTTAGGACACTATGTGATTGCCCAAATCTAGACAGGGGAAATCGGGAGGCAGATGCCGGGCTCAAACCAAAGACTTTTCAATCGGTAAACTGGAGCACTACACTGGGCAGTCTCGCCCCGGCCGAAAGAGGGTTCAGTAGTTAGGCGTATTCGATTCTCCAGGCATTGAATCGGAGAAGGAAATTACTTAACACGCTCGGCTTTAGAATAACTCCGTGAATGGATGGGTAATATCTGCGTGAGAGCCCACCAAATAGGTGCAGAGCCACGTGAATAGAGAACTCGAAGAAAAAAGCTTCTAAAGAGCGCTGTTCCTGCCACACCGCCTTTTAATTACAGACAGAAGTTCTGTGGGCAATGGGACAGACCGCGAAAATTACCTGGCCTGTGGGAGGTGTGGCGTACATAAAGGGGCCCAGAGCCAACTCCACACTGCCTTGCGCGGTCGTGCTTGCTCCATTTTGCCAGCATTTTTGACTGCCTCATTTAATAACAATTTTTCTAGTTTTTGAACGTTTGAACTACGAGCGCAGCACTACACTTGTTTGAACGCTGTAGTGGAATCGTCAGCCCTCTTGAAAGTCACTTGACTGCAAGTTGGATCTGAAACCGAACACTCTATAGCTCGCAAGTCTCCAAAGTGGATTGCATTCGATACAGCCACGCCGTATTTCGGCCCACATAGGAAGGGCTTTGGGAAAGAAAACGGGCACTAATGTGTGAACTTTTTTGGGTGAACAAATGCCATGATCTA